CCTGAACCCGTTGCTCTATGTCTGTCTCGGCCGCGGTTTTAAGGAAAGTCTGATTAGCTCACTGCGAAGTGTGCTTCACTTCGCATCCGAGGCACCGTCCCATCGAATCAGCATGACTGCAAACAGTAAATCAACCACAGACGGGTTCAGAGAGAAGCCCTTATGAAATCTTTGCGTGGAGATGTGGATCGAAAACCAATTCAAATACCACCCTTGGGAATCATTTGTAGGTTTATAGAAAGGTTTTTCTTTAAGTTTATGGCTTACTAGTGGACATGCTGCACAATGAAGATGTACAAACATAGTCACCAGTATTGTTCTATTAACAATATTCTTTTAAACCTCCGTAACATTCTCGCACAATTCTTTCAAACAAACCAATATATAACCATTTCCTGTCATAGCTAATCAAAAACAGCAGTGCACGGTTCACTATGTTAACATGCACTAATTTTCACCAATCATAATTGATCCAGTTTGAATTCAGATTCTGGAAGTTGTGTTTATATGAACACTAAACCTTGCAGTCCGATTCACATATTCTTTACATGCGCATTGCACCTATTGCGAACAAAACTTTAAGGGCATGAAACAGAGAAAGCCACTGCAAGAATGTCGCAATTGGGAAATTATTCAGTCTCCTTCACATAAGTCAACATGCGCATTAAGGTGCGGTCACATTAGCGAAATTGCAGCAAATTTTGCGAACAAAAAAGATCCATTGTTTCTTTTCAATAGTGTAGAGAAGTAAGAAGCACCGCTCGTACAAATGTCACTTTCAGACAAAGCAGGTTTTCTTGCTCTACGCCATGAATTCACGTGAGCAAAACATGGGGAAGGTTTGTTGCCCTCACACGACCTCGCGTATTCCTGCTGGAATTATTATTTCGCACACAAAAAACAGTCACGGCTGCTAAATGTAACCACTCGCAAAAAAATAGTCACATTCAAGCATTTGCATTATTAGATTTATTATTTCAATCCGATCGAAATTTCATTCAGATCGAGTTCAATCGGATCGACGGAGATGTTTACATGAAGGCCTTTCAGTCCGATTGAGCCATCGATCTGATTATACACGGATTATTTGGGCTAATGACGCATCCGTGACAGTTTTGATTCGTTAGTAATCATGTAATTCAATGGATTAAAATATGAATAACCATTTACAGCCAAATTAAAAATCATTTTAAATATTTACGTTTGTACATATGCTTTATGATATGGTTAGGCCCTATATGATATTTCTGTGTAGTGATTTACTGTAATCCCTTGTATTCATTTTAAACTTTAAAATGTCCTGTTGCATTCTTAATTAATCAACACTATTTTGCGATATATGGCACATAGCCTATAGCCTTTTTCATCACTGACATAACTAAAATGTTGTAATATTTGTTTTGTTTCTAGTCAGATTTGCTTTATTGTTAAAAGAATGTTCTGGATTAAATACAACATAGATACAAATGCAACTATTGATTACCACAGAAAATAATTTTGGCTATTTGTAAATTCGGACAAAAATGCAGTTACACTCTTATGGAAGCCATAGTGTGAATGTAGGCTGCCACACCGAAATACATGTTAACAACATACTGTATCAAAGGTGCACACATAACAATTAACGTAAACTTTCAATGTGTTTTCTACATTAGTAGAGGCCAGTAGAGAGTGAGTGTTAAAACTAAAATTTGGCAGGCTAGTGCTGAGATTCCAAGCCGTGAGATGTGGCTTTTGGTGTATGTGGGTGAGTTTCGAGGCTATATGTGTATATATTCACCTGTAGCTGCTTAAAAAATTCCACCCTAACTTTCTGTTTCTGACATAAATCATCACAGAAAAAATGGCAAATTCATATACTGTTACAAAATAATCCATTATTATGGACACTCATAATGAATACCATAAATCATTGCAAACTTATGGCCCACACTCTTAAAAATAAAGGTGCTTCAAAAGGTTCTTCAAGCGATGCCATAGAAGAACCATTTTTGGTTCCACAAAGAACCATTCAGTCAAAGGTTCTTTAAAGATCCATCTCTTTCTTACCTTTTTATAATCTGAAGAACCTTCTTTCGCCACAAATAACCTTTTGTGAAACAGAAAGGTTCTTCAGATGTTGAAGGTTCTTTATGGAACCATTTAGACAAAAAGGTTCTTCTATGGCATCGTGAAGCACCTTTATTTTTAAGAGTGCATAAGCATTATAACTCCCCATAACCCCCAAAAATATACTTTGGGGGCGGGTGTCCCTGGTTGTTCAATAAAACTATAATACTTGAAACATGAAACTAGTGAAAATGAAAATTAAATGAAAAGATTCGATTGCTGTATTAAATTTAGACCTGCTCATGTTACATCGTATTTTATTTTTACGCGTTTTACAGAGTTGCTCATAATAACCAATCACACACGATTCTGTTGAGCTTAGGAATGCAGTGACCAATCAGAGGCGTTCAGATTAGTCAACGCTGAATTTGGTTTAGACTGAAACTCGGGAATTCCCTCATCATTAGCAACAAAAGTGCAGATGTACGTACGATAAAGGAGATGAATTTATCATACAGATTGTAAGAGGAGTTATGAGTGCTAGCAAGCTAAACTGACTGCTCATTTAGAGGGTGTTCTTTCACTGCATGATTCATTCTAATAAATTGCATTTAGAATGCTCCCAAAATTCAAGATATGGGGGCAGAAAATATATTTATATAATTTCATATAGTTGATAAATATCACACGAAGTGTGCCATTGTTTCGCAAAAATCAAAAATGTGATATTGATTTTATACAACAGTTCAATAAAGTTAATATTAATAAACTTACGTTTTAGACACCATATAGCCTATTTTTGCTCTATTTCGCCAACAATTTTTTTTTTCAAACAGCCACAGCACTGTTTTACGTCTCTGAGCAACACCATGGTGTTTCGTTCCTGAATGAATCAACCGTTTAAATTATGCAGTTCAATCGCAATGACTCACTTAACAGTGACTTGCTGCCACCTACTGGCGGTTTTAATTTCACATATAAAGTACCTTTTCATTTTTAAAAATAATTTCAGTATCAGTATTCAACGTTTTAGGATTAAAATATCAAAACATTATTTATGCATTTGTAACCGCAGTTTAAATGCATTCATGTCCTGCATTAAACAATGTGTAAATACATCTAAATGCCTCTTCAGATGCAGATTCTGTGTTTCCTCTGCATTGCAAAGATGAATTTTGTTGATAATGATTTTATTTGTTTAGTAACAGCCCAAAATGTATTATTATTCTAATTCAATTTATTGATTAAATATAAGAATTTGACGTAAAATATAATGCACACTTCTAGAAAAAATGACTTTATAAAGGTAAAAATGCCCATAAAGTGTAAAAATCACTTTAAACTTGTTGGAAAAGATTAATTTCTGTCACTGATGTGAACTAACCATGCAGAATATGAAGAATATCCAAAACTTTAGGAGGCAGCTGTCCACGGCAGTCTTGCAGCGCGACACACTCAGCCAAATATCATCTGATTATCGTTATGGATAAAATCCCAGAAAATAGGGATACCTAGGGAGAACACCACTAGGTTATATATTTAATTTCTTTGCTTAGTGATTGTTAACTTCTTTGCTTAGTGATTGCTTGGTTCACCTAATTAACTGATCATGTATTTTTTTTTAAACTTTGTTATTGGTTTGAAAATGTCACCTCTAGTGGCGAAAACTTGGGCGTGTCTAGGATAATTGTATTTTCCATTCAAAAACGGGGAACAAATATGCCATCGTTACACCATTTCTGTCAAGTCCTGTATAGTCGATGTATTAAATAAAATAAATAAATAAACAATAAAAACAGCTTTTGCTACATCACTTCAAATCACACCCATGGACGACTATGAATAAGAGTTTATTTACAACATGCAATGAGCAGGAACATATTTCAAAGACCGCATGAAAATCTCTCAAATACACTGTGAGCATGAAATCAGACAAGGTGAAAAAATATGTTCAGGCAAGGCATATTTCAATACACTCCACACTGGAATGTATTTCCACTGTACAGCACAGGTAAGGGAGTTTGAGCAAGAAAATGAAATATCCCAAGTCCTCCAATGCACTAGATGGCGCCAGTAAAGAAGCTATGTGATATCAAAGTTCATAAAGTATAAATACTAACCAATTACTATCAATGTTGAAAAATTTTCAGTACACTACAAATGCGTTTTAACAAACATGCTACAAAATATTCATCAAGCTGACTTCATTCTTATGAATGGATAACGTATGTGCAAACTAGAGACAACACCTGGGACATGGCAGGCAAAGTGGTACGTAGTACTGATAAGGATGCCTCCATTAGCCCAGGCACATCCTGTCGTGTGTGTGATGTGGGTGTGTGAGATGAGTTGTGAAAATGGCCCCTTTAAAATGCTAAGCAAATGAGAATCAATTCCAGGTGAACACATATTTCTCTTCATGCTGCAGATTGCTCTGAGTTCCTAGTTATTCCTGTTTGCGAGTTGAAAGTGAAAATATTCGCAGGCAAAATATTCTCATCCTGCATTACATAGTGGACAACATGACGTCATCATTAGCAGCGTAGTGTTAAAACGGCCTTGTGAGCCACACTCTTCAGGTGACCTGAGTTCAAGTCCTGGCTCGAGGTCATTTCCTGATCTTGTTTACCTCTCTCTTCTCACATTGCCTCCTTCCTCTATTTCATTGTCTTGTCTATAATCAAGAAAACAATGATCTTAAAATGGCTTTATTTAGTAGCGGAAAGCTAAAATATACAGCAGTATTGTTGAAAAGATAAGACATTTATGAGCATGCCGTAGAACTTGAAGCTGAAGAAAGTGATTTATAAACATTACAGGCCCACAGTCATTCTTAAAGGGATAGTTCACCCAAAAATGAAATTCTGTGATTTACTCACCTTCATGTCATTCCAAACCTGTATGACTTTCATTATGATTAATGCAGAACAAATATTTTAAAGAATGTTGGTGATCAAACAGTTTTGGTGACCATTGACTTTGGACAAAGTTGTATGGACAAAATACAATGTGATCCTTCTGTGCTCCAAAAAGAAAGTCATACAGGTTTGGAACGACATGAGGGTGAGTAAATGATGCCAAAATATTCATTTTTGGACAAACTAATCCATGAACACATACAGTAGTCCTATTAAATACAAAACCATATAATCTTGTAATGGGTTTGGTGTGCTTAGTGGGTTTGCGTCTTGTCGTTGCGTCTCATCAAATCTTTTATTAACAAGAAGAAATATACAATAATCCCAGAGGTTGGACTTATAAACAAGTGTAAATCTGGTTTAAGTCTGACATCACGTCACAGTTTCCGAGTCCAAACGCTCTATCAGATCCCAAAAGCAAGCAACAAACGATGCTAATATACACCCAGAGTGTGCTGCAGAACTACCAAAAAAACATGATCCTAACCTCAAACATTTCTTCTAAATAATTAAAATATTGGTATCCATAACTCTGTGAGGCCGGAGATTGTACACTGTGAGTTTTTAAAAGCTTAGCTTAAAGGCGTGCTATAAATGAGTACTCATAAATAGCCGTTGGTTCAGTATTCAGGAGTAAAGTCTTGGACCCGGAATCAGTATTCAGTACGCCACATATAATGTAAGAGTATTACATAAAGCTCTCAAATGAATTTTAAAGTATAAATAGGCAGAGATGTTCATGGCCAGACTCAGACCGTGGTCATGAGTTTGAGGGAGCCTGAACGAAATCGCATGATCTTCTTTTTGAGCGCATGCGAGGCTTTTATCTTGACCACAGCATTGGAGGGATTCTGCGAAGAAGAGGGGGATGAGGGCAAGCGAGGGGGCAGTTGCTGAGGCCAGACCAGCCCTCCGCTCTCATCTGAGTCACTGGACACCGAACTGGTTCCTGGAGAGAAAGTCTCGCTCAGACTGGAGTCGGACCCTTCAGTCGTTGCAGTAGTGGCCTCTTGGTTCTGCTCCATGAACTGAACACTAGTGCGTTTGGTGGGTAACTGATTTAGTCTGAAATCGTGCATGTCTTCTCTGAATATCCCCTCATCTTCTTCTTGACTGAGGTCTGCCGAGGAGCACCACAGTCGCTGATTAGATGGATCAAATTCGTCACTATAATGCCTGCCCATGTCCTGTCCCACCGTATAGTATTTGTGCTCTGGTTGGGCAGTCCATCCTTGAGAGACGCAACTGTCCTCTGACCGAGAGCGGATGGTCGACTTGGTTTGTCTTTCTCCTAGAGTTGTCCACCTTTCCTCTGGACTCCTTCTGGCTAGGGACCGAAGAAGGGCCCACTTTTGGGATGGAGTGGGCTGGTGTTGCTCACGGGACTCAGGAGTCGACAACGTAGGTACGCAGGTGTGATTGCAGCAGGTGTGAATGTGGGGTTTCATGGTGTCTGACATTGTGGGACGGCGTTCGATGTAAACCGGTTGATGCCGAGGGGAGTCGTTGCTGCTGGTGTGGACTTCTTCGACTCCATACTGATCCATCTCCAAGGAGGATTCTGGCTCCTCACTGCTTAAGGAAGTTGGTTCAGCTTGGGCACTGGGAAGGTTCATGTAATATCCATCTTGGGATTCACGCTCATTCTCTACCTCAGAGAGAGTTGCCCATTCCTGCCATTCCGATTGGTCAAGCTGTGGGTAACTGGGTGGGTATGTGTGTAAGTCATGCCACTGTTCGGGATCAGAGTTGAGTTCTGCTGTAGATCTGAGGTGTCGTCGCTGTAGGAGTCCCAGGATGTACGTCTCCACACGCATTGCCTGCTGGATGTCTTCTTCTGTTGGGCCGTCTTCTATCTTCACTACAGGATCTGCCTCAGCATCAGAAGTGAGGCTTTCATCGGCTATCTGATCTGTAATCCACTGAGGACTTTGTTCATCTTCTTCTTCCTCCTCTATTCCCTCGGCAATACCCTCCAGTGGGGGGTACGGGGCAGAAAATGAGCGGGGCATGGTGGCATGTACTGTGGGCTCCATATGACCCTCCCAGTCCAGCATGTAGGTATCTGTCAGCAGGTGAGAAATAAATGATTTATGAGAAATAAAACTATTTCTTAACACCAGGGGTTTTCAAAATTTCTGATACCAAGGATGTACAAGTATGATGATCCCCTTGCAAAGGACAGCCTTTCTTAGGCCCTGTCCACATGAATGCGGTTATTTTTAAAACCGCAGCTTTTTCTACACGGTTTGGCCGTTCGTCCTCACGGACATTTTTGAAAACTCCTGCCAGGGTGAAGATTAAAAAATAAAAAATGTTTGGCTTGTGACGTCGGAACATGCGCTGTTATCTCCGCCTACTGGAAACCTTTTCAGGCTTCTGATTGGCCAACATGGCTTTACGGTTGAGATTATATCGCCACCTGTTGGTTTGGCATGCTCTTGACAGTGCTTCATAGCATGCGTTTGCGTTTTCATGTGGACGGAGATTTTTTTTAAAACGGAAGAAGGAAAACCTCCTTTTTATAATACTTTTATATTATAAAAAAAGTATATAATTTAATTATATATAAATAAATACTTTTTTTTATAATACTTATAAAAACAATTTTTTATAAGTATTATAAAAATACCCGTGTACGTGTGGACATGACCTTAAAAGGCAGCTAAGGCCAGTGGTGCCCAAACCTATTCCTGGAGATCTACCTACCTACAGAGTTCAGTTCCAACCCTGCTTCAGCACACCTCCCTGTAATTATCAAGTGCTCCTGAAGATCTTAATTAGCTGGTTAAGCCGTGTTTGATCAGGGTTGGAGCGGAACTTTGCAGAGTAAGAAATATATTATCAAGACCACGAGTTTAGGTGTAAAATATGATTAAAGGAAACACTAACCCACAGATCTGGGCCTGTGACAGGACACACTGAGGTTTGGAGAGGAACAGGAACGCAGTGGAGGAGACAGACTTTCACTTTGCTCATAAAACCCTGAGGGATAAGATAAATCGAAAAATTATTTCCATTTATCATTTATTAGCTTTCATTGTTTTATCCACAATATCTGGATGTATGCTTCCATACTTGATTTGTCAACTATTACTATTGCATAACTAGGTGTGCACAATATATCTGTGACTAAACTGGTAAATGATCAGAATCATCCTGATTATGTTGGTGCTGGAAGCAGATAAAGAGATCAGAGCTTTAATAGGAACATAACACAAAATACAGCAGCCTGTATAATTATAAATTATTCATAGAGTGGTGGAGACCTGAGCTTGAAGCACTGGGACAGTCCAAATCCTCCTCTGTATACTGCTCACATGTGAGTCCTGCATCCAACCTCAGCTCACTGAGCTGCTGTTGCAGTGCCAGCATCAGCTGGCTGGGGGCGCCCTGGAGTCGGTTCTGCAGGGTACCACACAACAGTCAATACTGAGGGCAACTGGAAAAGATTTAAATTAATTCATTTGGCAGACACTTTTGCAATCAAGGTATACATTTGATCAGTTCATGCACTTCCTGAGAATCAAACCTGTAAGCTTGGAATTGGGAGCGCTAACGTGTTACTGTCTGAGATACAGGAATGCAATAACACAATACAAATACAATAACGGGCATATAAATACATGCATAAACATACTACATTAGCCGAGCGTGCATCAGCATAATATGGGACATTTTACACTTAGGGGTCTGCCCCAGATTGCCGTTACTCCTCTTCACCCTCACGGCATAAAACACGGGCTTGTAAAAGGTTGGAAATCAGTGATTTTTACAGCCCCATGAACTGGTTCCTTGTATAAATGAAAAATAGTAATGACGTGTAGTACATTAACATTAGAATAATCAGATTTTGTGTGACAACAAACAGATATAAGGAGGCTTGGAAAGATGGCTTCAAGCATGTAGCACATGTGTTTTTGTGTGCATGTAACCCGTGTAGTGTGTGCTTGTGCGCACCACTGCCAGTAGTTATGTAAGCCAACGGCAAATGCACCAAACCTGGAACATTAATAATTTACCAAATATGGGAGAGATACTGTAGCACATGCTATTTTTTGATCCTGTGCTTCTGGTTTTGTTTCAGGACCTAGTTTCATGCTCTCAGCGGCTAATAATTTAACTATCAAAACACACTGTGGTTGGCACCATGTCGCAAGACAACCAGTGTTTAATGACGTCTGAGTCTGGGGTTTATTTTAGTTTTGTTCATGGTTTAGTTTGTCCAGATTTTGTCCAGGCATCACAGTATGTTCTACACCTGCCCCGAATCACCACTCAGAGTGTATTTTGGTTTTTTTGTTATATTTTGCTGGTGAATGACGCAAAGGTGGTTTAGTTTGGCTCATTATTTTAACCGCTTTCTCTATTTACAGTTCAGTGTTTTTCTCTACTTGTTATTTTCCATAATAAAGGGTATAATGATGGCAAAACCAATGCCTGGGTGCATGGATCCAAGACAGATGTGAGAAACAGACTGGCGAGAATGAAACGATTTTAGTTAATGCATTTCATATTCAGCATACAATTTTTCATTGGATTTACAACAATTTCAGTTGAGTCAGGTTATGTTTAAGATATGTTTGGAATAGTTTGGGTTTATGTAACATGGAGGCTTGCCAAGGTGTATACTTGATTCTACATCTACGAAAAATCAGGTTGAAATCAAAGCATCAAATATGATCCATAAGGCTTTTGAGGAATGTTAATGTGTTCATCTCTCACTCATCATTGTAGTGCATTGGATTACCCTATACGTTGTGCACCCTACAATAAAAAAAACTACAGAGCTTTTATAATAAAACTATCAAAAAATTCAATAAATAAATAAGCATTTGAATATCATTTTACTAAGACATATTATTGGGAGTGACATCTAATATTTATATGCATTCTATGTAAGTAGTCTGTTATATCGTTATAAAAACTTGATTTACATTACAAGCTATCAAAATTTCATCTTACTTTTTAGCCATAAAAAAAGATGAGGTCTTTGAATAAAATTGTTTTTTTCTCTCCTTGAGTGTGAAATCCATATTGTCATTTATAAAAAGCCAAAAAAGCATAATTTAATGTAAAATGTTTTTTAAAGATTTTTTTTTATAAGAGTTCAATTAATTTAAAAAGATTTTTTGAAATAAAATAAATATTTTTTTTACTATTATATCATATGTCAGACTTTACAGGGTTGAACTGATCCTTTAAGTGTGTAAAATTAATTTACATTACAAGCTATCAAAATTTCATCTTACTTTTTAGCCATAAAAAAAGATGAGGTCTTTGAATAAAATTGTTTTTTTCTCTCCTTGAGTGTGAAATCCATATTGTCATTTATAAAAAGCCAAAAAAGCATAATTTAATGTAAAATGTTTTTTAAAGATTTTTTTTTATAAGAGTTCAATTAATTTAAAAAGATTTTTTGAAATAAAATAAATATTTTTTTTTACTATTATATCATATGTCAGACTTTACAGGGTTGAACTGATCCTTTAAGTGTGTAAAATTAATTTTATTTTACTTTATTTTTCAGTTGCATTGTTTAAACAAACAAACAAATAAATGAAGTTTAGAATAAAACTGCCTTAGTCAGTGCTAAGTAATGACCGTTGATTCTGTTTGTGATATTAAGTCTATCATCTTTTAATGTTTTTTTATCCAATTTTCCATCTATTAGTAGGCCTAAAGGCACCTACACACAAGAGAAAGTAGAGCATTTGATAATGCGACTGCATTAGGTTCATTTTAAGTATGTGGAAAGAGCCGAGTCAGTGTACAATCAAGTGGGAATACAGCAAATTGGAATTCAAAAAGCAGAAGCCTTTCTGAAATTCTATTTGGACATTGGACGACTGCATCAGAGCTAAGTTAAACTTTTCTGAGATTTGAGACAGATTCTTGTGTTTTCCCCTACATTCCTGCAACAAACCATTTCCTTTGAAATCAGCACAGAAGTATGTCTATTTTTCAAGACTAAAATAAGACTTAAAAGAACATTATAATTGTTCTTAGAATGGCTCATATAAAACCATGGCAACGTGGTTTAGCTGAGGTCAACGCTCAAGCACATGAGAAAAATGACAAGTTTAGAACTGAAAAACAGAAGAGGAGGACAGCGAGAGTGGAGCAGGTCTGCCAGATGTGAACAAAGACCACAAGCAAACACCCCACTGAAAACATGATCCAGTCGTGATGATTTTAAAGCTAATATTGGCTATTCTCTGTGAAGTCTATGACTCAACCTCATCTCATGTTCCCTTGGAGATCTTTGATGCAGCTTCACGATTTACTGTCGGGAGATGGCGTGACGGATCACCTGCTTCTGTGTCTCACCCTCAAAGGCCTGATGCACAAAAGCATGCAGAAGGCAGCAGTCTATTTGATTATCAGAGAAACAGACAGGACCTGAGGGAGATCAGGCTGCATGTGTACTCTCATTATCTGGCTGCCGTGAGCGCCTTGCCTTTAATGTGCCAAAATGTGACACAACCAGCACCCCCATCACACACACACACATCACCCTGCCCCCACTATATCACCACACACACATCAGTCTAACACTCCTAAAGTACAAAATACATCACTAAACTGCACTAATTCATTTCTGAAGCACACATGCAACATGAGCCTACAGCAGGGAAACTTTGGCCTTATATAATACACTCTGAATGATTCTAGAATCTATAATTCATTCATTCTTAAGAACCGTGCTATAATGAATTTGCAATTTATTTATAAAGTACTAATAATTATATGTCATTTAATGCAAATGGATAAAATAAATGTGGTATTCATAGTCTGTAATCTCATTCATTCATCCATTAAAACAAAAAGTAGAATGGTTTTAGAATTGATACCAAACTCGAAATGCCTAAAGATTCCCACCCCTAACAGAACCTGAGTGAAAGGCTAAATGAATGTCGCTTTGGTGAGAGAAACTCTCGTCAGCCGGCAGATTGAAGAATGTTTTCCGGTGGCCACTGGAGCAGAGCGCGAGCTGCTGACAGCTCATTTGGGTGATGCGTCTCGAGCTCACCCGCACACGCCCGTCCCGCGAGAGTCTGACTCATTAATATTCCGCTCCATGCGCCTTTTGTCTGATCCGTCTATGGGGGGAGAAACTCTGGGGAGAGACAGACTGCTGCTTATTTGATTTCTCTCACCGCCTTTTCACGGGCCTTTATGGAAAACTGAGTTAGAGTGAGGTCCCGACCCTGAGGCACACATACTGATGGACAGGTAATGAAAGCACAGGAGGGACTATGCGCTCTGTTAGTTTATAAATACTGTATTACTTTGATAAACACTATGCCTCCCCAGCTACTTACGAACACGGAATACAGAGTTAAAAAATAATAATAAAGAAAATATAAATATCAGTGTTCATCAGCGAAATACAAGATTTTTTTAAAGCTATAACTGTAATAACAATTAAACTACAACAGTAATGTAATATAATATAGCCTACACTGTAAAGAAATGTAACGCAGGGAATTCTGGGAATGTCAATTTACAGTTATTCACAGTAAATTATACGTCTTTTTAACTTCAAAAAACGGTATACTACCGTAAAATTACATGTAATGTATCCACCGTATAGAGTAGGGGAATTTACCGTTAACCATTTAACAGGTTTTTACTGTAGCATTTTTACAGTCTTTTACAGTTAATTTCACGGTCATTTTTTTACATGTACTATGTGACCCTGGACCAGAAAACGAGTCATACGGTCCATTTTTTTTATACATCATCTGAAAGCTAAATAAATAATCTTTCCATTGATATAAGGTGTGATAGGACAATATTTGGCCGAGATACAACTAGCTATTTGAAAATCTGGAATCTGAGGGTGCTAAAAAAATCTAAATATTGAGAAAACAGCCTTTAAAGTTGTCCAAATGAAGTTCTTAGCAATGCATATTACTAATCAAAAATTATGTTTTGATATATTTAATAATTTAATTCATTTTAAATTTATTTACGGTAAGAAATTTACAAAATATGTTCATGGAACATGATCTTTACTAATATCCTAATGATTTTTGGCATAAAAGAAAAATCGATCATTTTGACCCATACAATGTATTTTTGGCTATTGATAAAAAAATACCCATGCTACTTATGACTGCTTTTGTGGTTCAGGGTCACATATAATATAATATAATATAATATAACATAACATAACATAACATAATATAATATAATATAATATAATATAATATAATATAATTATAGACTAATAACGATAATAAAAAATTTAGCTAAAGAAATGAAAGGCTTGATATTTCGTTAGATAAAGTAGAATTGGCAAATCCACGCGAAACGAACAATGGATAGCCTAAGTCTGCAGACCCCGCCCCTTTTTCCAAGCGCACATCAATCACAGCTGTCAAAAAGCATGCACTTGCTGTGAAAAGAAATTGCCTTTAATTATGCTTGCGTTAATGGGATTATAACGGCATATTGGTGCTATAAAATATATAACGGCACACTGCAGTTTTCACGTGCCAATTATGCAACACCAAAAAGTAACACGCTTCTTGTTGTTGTGCGCTCTTCCACATGACTTGAACAAATTCCTCGTCCTTTCTAAACTTTTCAAATACCCACACCTCCTTAAAGAGAAAGGCTGGAGGGAGTTTTAAACATCAGTGAGCATGTCGCATTCATGCATCTGGCGATTACGTAATGAAAGAACTGGGTTATGTCTCTATCTGCTGGCTAGACATGAGAGTGCACCATGATAGCGTGATAGTTCTCTGTTGTATTGCAAATATAGAGATTTATTTTTAATGAGTTCGGGCAAACTCCCAAAAGCATAATGCAATTGCCTGCGATATTAGCATACTGTGGAATCATTGTAACTTGTGTATTTGAGGAAACAAATGTAATATTTCTCTATGGTATCCATGGTAAAGCATTCTAGAAACTTAAGATAATAAAAATCACAAAGTATATTCCCAGTGTTGTTTTATTCTTCTTCATCTTATTATTTGTAATCTGTCTACTTCACATAGATCAGAGTCACTGAATCAGAGTCTCTATTAGACACATTTGTTGGAAAAATGAAAAACTGTGCACAGCACAGTTCTGCTTCCCATTTCAGTGAACACTGCACTGCATATGGAAACATGTACAAATCAGCCTGGCCTAGAGATAAAAACTCTAAAAAGAAGAGGAAAAAATACAGTAAGTTACTGCTACACCAGTTAAGTTATGGGGTGTCATAAATGGACATCAACAGAAATCAATCAGTACAGTTTCAGGAAAATAAAACAGTTGATTTGTGAGACAGTTTGTTGCTGGATACAGTTCGTGGAACTACAGCACAGGTACAGTACAGTGGAAGTGGAACATCAGTGCACACTAAAATCCCATAGCACAGTCTAATGCATGTGATATGAACATCTGAAATAGAATTTAGAGCAGTGTGTCTTGTCTGAATACTTGATCACAAATGCTCTACATAACTTCAAAAGCCAAATCTCTAATAACGGCACCACTTTTCTCAGTTGCACAATGCAAACTCAAATCTTTGGTCAGATACATCACAAGAAGTAACTGCATATGAGCAAAACAATCAGGCTGAGGGTTAATTATCATTTTTTTGCTCAGGTGGAGTCAGTAAAGCTTACTAGTGTAGCCGAAGAAAATGGGTGGTCCACAAAGAAAACTAATTTAAACACAATTTCACACACTTACACACATACAGTACGGTGACCATGATTGTGACAGTGATTTCACTTTCAGTTCTAAAATACCAAACCAAGTGCAATTCTTCTTTTCTAAAAACGCACATAATGAAAAAAAGATCAATCAAATCCATATTGCAGAATACACACCCAACAACCTATACAGATGCACTCTAATGCCAAAATAAATGTCTTACAACTGAAGTTTTTTGTTTAACAGTGAAGAAACTAGTAGGAGAAACTGTCAAACTTAAGAACTGCATCCTGGAATAAAATGCCGGCTTCAAACACTGCACAGAGCAACACTTAAGATGGATTCTAAAGATCCAACCCAAAAACTCCCATCAGATTCCAAAGTGCTGGCCTGTGGAACACAAATTACGATTCAAATGACATTACAACAGATTCCTTTCTTTCGGCTGGGGAGGGGGGGCATACATTCAATACAATACCATGGGGTTTGTAGCTGGAATATTATCATATGTGACCCTGGACAACAAAACCAGTCATAAGGGTCAATTTTTCTAAATTGAGATTTATACATCACATGAAAGTTGAATAGATAAGCTTTCCATTGATGTATGGTTTGTTAAGATAGGACAATATGTGCCTGAGATACAACTATTTGAAAATCTGGAATCTGAGGGTGCAAACAAATCTAAATATTGAGAAAATCATCTTTAAAGTTGTCCAAATGAAGTTCTTAGCAATGCATATTACTAATCAAAAATTACGTTTTGATATATTTACAGTAGGAAATTTACAAAATATCTTCATGGAACATGATCTTTACTTAAACGATTTTTGGCACAAAAAAAACAATAATTTTGACCCATACAATGTATTTTAGGCTATTGCTACAAATATACCCCAGCGACTTAAGACTGCTTTTGTGCTGCAGGGTCACATATATTCTGCCAGCAAACATATATTTCATATATCAGACTTTGTCCTACAATGCCTGAATGTAAAGTGCCGCTTCTCTTCATGTCGTCTCACATGAGATTTTTTTTACATTGTCCTCTGTCTGCATAAAAAGGGAATCGTTGCATTTTATGTTATATATAAATAAATTCTACCATCTAGTATAAATACTATATTTGGTTTATAGGCTAGAGCACTTGTGCTCTGTAAAAAAAAAAATGTCATTACCACCTCACATAACTTTCCTTTTATTTGACTGATTTAAAAATGACAACAAATGGGCTATCGGTTCAATTAAAACGTGAAGTGTGTCCAGTGCCGTTTCCTGCAGTGCTTCCTGGTCCAGACTCTCACCTCATGCTAAATAAAAAACAGGAATGCTGCCACAGCAGAGAAAGCATGCGTGTGTGGGTTCTTGGCCGAGCTGGATGGTCATTTTCTGACCGCTCGGTTTCTGAAGCCAGGCGGATGTGTAAACAGATGCCCAGTGGACTGAGCTGCTGGGCAAGAAAAAGGCAGTTTGGCTTCATGTGCCGGGAGGGAAGACACAAGACGTACAAGTGGAATGATTTAAAACATCACACGGACATTCTTACATTCATCAAAATAGACAGATCAACTTACGACACACACACGCACATGCTCACACGGACACGTCTCAAACGTGCTTGTGCGTGTCACTGAATAAAACGCAGTTTAATAATTATAAACTCTTTCCTTCTAGAGCTTTGATAAGTGTTCTATGTACATAAATTAACAATAAATATCTACAATGACCTCTCTCTATATATTGAAATATATATTAAATCTTGAATAAAGTATATATTTCAAACATATTCATATATATCTTCAAATAAAGCAGGAGATATCACAGTTTAGTAATCAAAAAACGAACAATGTTTATCCATCTTTCTGGCTGCGGTGTCCCTTTTCAGTTTTTCTCTGGCGCAAAAACTCTTTAGCTTAAATTTGAGAAATTTAAGGTCTCTGTTTTTAGCGCAAGTGGCCCTTTTTGCGGAAACTAGTTTTAACTTTCTTAATAATTTTCGCAGAATTATCAAGGAAACCAGCCTTGATACTACTGTAGAGCATGAGTGAACTAGATTTCATAATGCTTTCTGTGCAAAACTCTCACAAGTGGGAAAAGGGACAGGGCAGCTCTGCCGTTACAGGTCAAAAGCAAGCTAAAAGATCATTTTCCTCATTCCTTGTACCAATAAAAACACTTCAAAAGAAAGGAGGGCTAAAACAAATAAAAAGCATGCTCTTCATTTTCTTCCTCAGGTCCGTTCCGTTACTTTGCAAACAGTAACATCCTCAGAAAGAGAACCTGAAAGAAAGCTGGAACAGCGGTGAGCCCATTCGGACTCTAGCCGTCCCACAATTCCATGGGACAGATATGGCCCCACTTCCTGTGGGCTTGCTGTCCACTTGGATTGGCCGATGGCAGTTTCTGGTCCATCTCTTCTTCTTCTGGTCTCTATCAAGTGTCTCTTTTGTTTAGTATGCATAGTCATACATGCACATTTGGGCCCTTTGTTTTTTGCCTTTCGTTCTCATAAGTGGCTCTACATTGCACAGCGCACCCTGGTGGCCTGGAGGGTAAGTGTCAGTAATATCGACTCCTCTTCTCGTCCGAGTCTGAGTTGTAATCTCGTAGACCCACACCTTTCTGTAGGCTCAGTAAGGAATCCTTCATCTATGTGAAGACACAGATGCGGTCATTTTACAATCAAGCTCAATCAAATCGCTTCAGCGTGTGTGCAAACATATTTTATACCTGATCCAATAACAGTACTGAAGATTTAATGATTTCTCTCCATTTCTGCAGCTCAGCGTCATGGTAGCGCTGCTGGGACTCCAGGAGCTGTGCCCATTCCATCTGTGTCTGCGGCAGTTTACTGCTAAACCCCATGGTAACAAAAACACCACTACTCAGTGATCTACACAGGTCTGTCAAGCGAGTTTAGGAATGTATAGACACTTAAATTTCAGCAGGGTCGAGTGCAGTCCAAACTTGTGCTTGTGATGTTGTGGGAGGAGCTCACAACTGTGGGTGTGACTTGTGTGATTCTAAATTTGTGTGGGCATGACTCAGTATTGTTGTGGGTGTGGCTTGGTATTGTTGTAGGTGGAGTTTAATAATATTGTGGGTGGGGTTTGATAGACCTCAATTACCACTTCAAGTCGAACTCACCTAGTCGAACCACATAATGAGTGTGTCTTGATGTCGTGGGAGGTGTGGCTCAATATTGTTGTGACTCGACATAATATTATTGTGGGTGGGTATTGGTGTTGTGGGAGGAACTCATAACTATGGTCATGACTCAATATTGTTGTAGGTGTGATTTGACATTGTTGTCGGTGGAGCTCAATTCCATTGTGGGTGGGTCTTGGTGATGTGGGAGGAGCTCATAATTATGGGCGTGGCTCAATATTGTTGTGGATGTGGCTTGGCTTTGTGGGTGAAGCTGGTGGAGGTCAATATAATTGTGGTGGGTCTTGGTGTTGTGGAAGGAGATCACAAATGTGGGTGAGGCTCAATTGTGTTCTGGGTGTGATATTGCTGTGGGTGGAGTTTAATACCATCCTGGGTGGGTCTTGGCTCAATATTGTTGTAGGTGTGAAGCAGTTGTCGTATGTGTTGTACCTTTCATGTAGGCGTAAGCCCTGCCAGCTGGTGAGGCTTTGTGCAGAATACTCCAGCATCCAGAGTTTGTAGAACAGCATCACATTCAAAAACACCAGTAGCACCAGACTGCAGAGGGACAACAACCAAGACACATTAAAAAATAAAGCACATGGACAAATTCAGTGAAAAAAAAAGACAAACGCTGGATTTGTGATGAGTAGAGTGAACATGATCAGACACTGATCAGAACAGACACTTTTGCTGCATTCCAGTCAAAATCAAATATGAGATATTCCCACTGTTGTTCCCACAGAAACACACTTTTTTCAAACAGGATTTGGAAATTCAGACTTGTCATATTGAATGAAGTGCAGCATAAAGGCCTTTCCACACTGAGCGCGAAAAAGCGAAACGAATATCGGACGCGATGACAGTTTTGCAAAGCGAAATCACGGGCCATCCAATAAGATTTGAGCTAGGATCACGTGACTGGAGCAGCTGCTGTTGCTCAAAAGGCTGAGAGTAGTGGCGCTGTTTCGAAAACCAGTGTAAACAAACATCGAAGAAGAGTATCCCGGATAAGAGAAGAGTTAACGTTCTTGTTAACGTTGGTATTTGAGAACAGATTTATTCTCACATGTTCTTTATACAGAATAACATTTATATTATTTGTCCACTGAATTATGTAATCATCCGTTTTCTTCCACATGCGCGAGTGTTATGAGTCAGAGTGCATTCACTCTTTTTCTACACATGAAATATGAAAGCAAATAGACATGATTATGACAATATATTTTCTGCATGTGTTTTGTATGCAGCTCATGGTATTTTTATAGCAATAAAGGATGTTTATGACAGATATTAGCAGTGTAGCGTTATTAAACATACAAAGAGTGCATGTGTCTGCTTATTAATCAAAATCAACTATAGATCACAATCGGAAGTTATTACAAGCACTCAATGATGGTTTAAAGTGGGTAAGCGAATACATTACTAATTACATACATTTTCAAGTGTAGCTTGATGCTAATTGTACTTCTAATTATATTTTAGGATGTAGCCTATTCTTGTAAGCATTATAGATCGTTTGTGTTTCTGGGGTAGAACCAAACTTTGTTTATCTGAATTTAATGCTGTATATTGAGCAGCCGATGATGTTAAATCCATTTACGAGATACATATGGAAAAATGCATTGTTGTTCGGCGCCACCTAGCGTGCAGGCGTGAATTAGCAGAAGGCGAACATTCGCTTCGCGTTCGGTGTGAAAGCACCGTTCGTCAGCGATTTGCCTCACGCGCTCGCGCTCAGTGTGGAAAATGGACTAGAATGACAGGATAGAGATGGGATTTTCTGAATGGATATCAGTTCTGAATTGAAATCAGTAAAGGAATGTACCTTATACAGATCCTAAGGCCAACCACAAGAGGCAAAACCAAAAAAAAAGAAACAGAAATATTTATACAAATATTAAAAAAAGTACGCAAAACTATATTAGTATTAATTAAAAGAGTATAGAAAATACTGAAGTACTACTTACACAAAGCTGATGATGAGTAGTGGTTTAGAGAGGTTGCAGAAAATCCCGCCCCCTGGCGTGTGCTCAGGAATGTGTCTTGTCTGAGTGGAACCTGTGGGTGGAGTACATGAAAATGCAACCAGTCCTATAAATTTAAACCTAATATCTTTTGTGTCTGATAATATTTGGATGTGCATGAACTCACCTGCCACGTGTTTGATGCGGTGGATGACCTCCTCGTCTGTTGGTGTGGTCACAGGACTGAGGGTCTCATCTAGATGGGCTGTGCGCAGGTGGGCGGGGGGTCTTTTTCTCCGCCTTAGGCTGGAGTTCTTGACTGCTTTAGCATTAGGAGACAGTCTGTGGCTTTCCATTAGAGCGTCCTCTATCTTTCCTAACTCCAGTTCTGACAAAACAGCAACACTTGTTTACTGGTACTAAATACTGATTTATTCTGGTATTAATTTTAAGTGGTGACCACAAAACTTTCTGCACAACAGAACAAGTAATTTAATGTAAAATGTGGAGTGAAGTGGAAGAAAGTTGTGATATTGCCCGATGTTGTTGTGTGTGGAGCTCAATATTGTTGAGAGTGGGACCTGATAATATTGTGAGTGGAGCTCAATACTGAGGGTGAAGTTTAATTTTGTGCTTGCAGCTCAATATTGTGGACGGGATTTGATATTGTTATGGGTGGAGTTAAAATTTTGTTATAGGTAGAGCTCCATTTTTTGTGGGTGGGGCCTGATATTGTTATGGTTGGAGTGATTGCTGGAAAGTGAAATGGCAAACAGTTGTGGGGAGAGGTCAAGATGGTTGTGGGAGGGGCCTGATACTGTTGTGAATGGGGCTTGAAATTTGTTGTAGGTGGGAATCGATATTGTTGTGGATTGAGGGCGGTGTTGTAGTAGGAGGGACCCAATAATGTTGTCGGTGGGGTTAAATGTTGTATTTGGTGGGGCTCATTATTGTTGTGGGTGGGGCTGAATGTAGTTGTGGGCGGAGCACAATACTGTTGAGGCTGGGACTTGATAATGTTATGGGCAAATTTCAATTTTGTTGAAGGTGGGGCTTAATGTTGTGTATGGAGTTTAATATTGTGCTTGCAGCTCGATATTGTGAATGGGAATTGATATTGGTGTGGGCGGAGCTCAATGTTTCTCAATTTTGTTGTGGGTGCTGCTCAATATTGTTGTGGATGGAGTGATTGCAGGAAAATGTGGAGTGAAGCGGAAGAAAGTTGTAGTTGGTGCACAAGATGGTTGTGGGTGGGGCCTGATATTGTTGTGAGTGGGGTTTGAAATTTGTCGTGGGTGGGAATCTTATTGTGGATGGAGCTCAATGTTGTTGGGGGCGGGACCCAATATTATTATGGGTGGGGTTAAATGTTGTTTTGGATGGAGCTCATTGTTGTGGGTGGGACTTAATATTGTTGTAGGTGAAGCTCAATAGTGTTGTGGATGGATTTTTAGTTGGTTGAGGCTGGGGCTAAAGAAAGTTGAAGCTGGGGCTCAAGGTGGTTTTGGGCGGATGTGAAATTGTGTCTAACCGAGGCTTTTGAAGTTCTCATCTAGCCCACTCCAGAAGTTCTTCTCAATGAAGCCCTTCACCAGCGCCCATGGCTGTTTCCTGTACCTCAACTCTGTAGAAACCCTGAAGGCCGAATGAATCACATTATTGTCAGTCACACCTGCCTCTCTTTGTTTGGCTTTGACCATAAAAAAACGAATGTCTTGTTCACCCGTACCTCAGTCTACACTTGTTCTTGGCCACGCGCGTCAGCATGTAGCGGTTTAGGGTGTAGAAGTAGTCGTGGTACGGAACGTCATGAGTGATGACTTCAGCATCGATGATATAGCACTCACTCTCCTGGCTGGCCTTATACAGAGTCTAGTTCAGAGAGAAATTGCATTGAAAATATTAATATTAAAACACACACACACACACAAAACAGTACTGAGGAGAAGTCAGTCTCACCTGCGTCTCAGTAACTGTAGCTGTTTTAGGAGCCAGTGGGTTGGTCAGGGAAATTGTGTACACGATGGCCCTGGTCTGATTTCCAGCATCTTCCTTCTTCCAAGGCTGATACACCACATCTGTGAAAAGATGTGCAGAACCACAGTTATTATAGTTAACTAAAACTAAAACCATAACAAACATTTTTGATATATGAGAAAAAAAACAATGCTTTATATATATATATATATATATATATATATATATATATATATACACACAGTATATATATATATATATATAGCTAATTTCAGCTAATTTATTATTTTCATTTTAACTTTAAGTACTAAAATCAGTAAAAATAAACTAAACTAAAATGAATAAAACCATGTAGACATATATAGAAATTACAAAAACACACAACAAAATTAATTTTTTGAATGAAAAGAAAACAAAAAAAAAACAATGTATAAAAATTATAATAGTATCTCAGTGATACTAAAATAAAACTGATCTTAAGTATTCTTGATGTACTGTATAGTTAAGTTTTGCTCATAGATAAAACAATACATATAATAATCAAAATAATAAAATTAAATAATTTAAAGGGGTCATATGATGCGATTTAAATTTTTCCTTTCTCTTTGGAGTGTTACAAGCTCTTGGTGCATAAAGAAGATCTGTAAAGTTGCAAAGACTAAAGTCTCAAATCCAAAGAGTTATTCTTTATAAAAGTTAAGAGTCAGCCACGTCTACCTAAAACGGCTCTTTCTAACACGCCCCCACATGTCTACGTCACTATGTGGGAAGATTTGCATAACGCCGCCCAAATGTTCACGCGAAGAAAGAAGGCGCAACTTTTATTCTCGCTGTAGTATTGTTGTTGCCGCCGCCATGTCGTGAAGGCGCTGTGTGCTTCGTTGTGAAAGCAAAACTACTTTGTTTGGCCTTCCAAAAGAGGACATGACTTAAACCGCATTTCATTACACCAAATACACCAAATAATGTTCTTTTTAGCAACATCATATGACCCCTTTAAACTCAAATGCAAATTGAGTTGAATTATTTGGCAAACAACCGTGTAATGCTCTTCATGGTCTTGATCACTCTATTAGGGTTTCTCTAAAAGTTCAATCAGTTCAAAGACAAAGGAATGACTGTTTTTGAAGTGTTCTGACCTGTAAATCTCCTCTGCTCCATGAAGTCTGTCATGAACTGGGACTCGGTGAAGAGGATGGTGTACAGCTTATCAACACTGAATTTATACACCTCATTAATGTACTGACGGCCGTTCAGATCCTCGTGGAATGCTTGAACTTCATCCCCTGAAGAAATATTCAAACAAAAAAGATGAGCTGTACAGCACTAATCAAGTACTGGCATCAAAATATAGAGAATCTTGACAAAAATGTGGAGAATCTCACACTGTTCACTATTCGAATTATGTTTCCAGAATAAGACAGAATATGTATCCACATGTAGTAAGGTATAACAATTAACTGATACAATTGATACAAATTAAGATCACTTTGAGCTGCTTCCAAACTGTGAACATTTTAAAATTGGTTTCGATAATGTGAAAGTGTGCACTTCACATTTATTTATTTTATTAAGTTGGCTTGAAAAAGCCAACTTACTGAAATCCTATTTAAACTTCTTCTTCTTCTTCTTCTGAGACCAAATTTTAAAATGTATCTCCTCTTAGACTTTTAAAACTACAACCACCAAACTCGGGTCAGACCTTCAGACTGGTCTGACTCGGGTTGCTTTTCTAACTGATCCGGCTTACGGTTTTTGTAAACCAGAGTATCAAAACCAACTAAAATCCCATAGACTTTCAATGAGGGGGTGAAAACTTTTATACAATAAGACGTATGGTGTATTTAAGATGTCTATTGCTCTAGCAAAGCTTAACAACTCCCTACTGAAAAAACAGCTAAAAACAGCCTAAGCTGATTGACTGTTTTTGGCTGGTCTCCCAAGCTGGTTTTAAAGTGGTTTTGGCCACTTTTTTTAGCAGGCCAAGCTGGTCTTAGCTGGTTTTTAGCAGAGAAACATGCTAACAACATGGTACTAACGTTGCTAATCATGCTAGAAACATGCTAGCAACTTGCTAATCATGCTAGAAACAGGCTAGTAACATGCTAATCATGCTAGAAACAGGCTAGTAACTTGCTAATCATGTTAGCAACATGCTAGTAACATGCTAATCATGCTAGAAACAGGCTAGTAACATGTTAATCATGCTAGAAACAGGCTAGTAACATGCTAATCATGCTAGCAACATGCTAATCGTGCTAGAAACAGGCTAGTAACTTGCTAATTGTGCTAACAACATGCTAGTAACTCGCTAATCATCCTAGAAACATGCTAATCATGCTAGCAACATGCTAATCGTACTAGTAACATGCTACTTGTGCTAGCAGCATGCTAATCCTGCTAGCAACATGCTAAAAACATGTTAGCAACATGCTAGAAACAGCCTAGCAACCACCCCAGGTACCCTAGCAATATGTTTTGTACCTATCTGTTTTTTGTTATCCTTGAAAACATTCAAACTTGAATCTTTAAAACTATTTTAACTTTCAAACTACTTCAAACTGAAAACGTTCAGACTGCAAGTTTTTCAAACTTTCTAGCTAGGCTTTTTCAAGCCAGCTTAAAGTGTGCCTACAAACTTTTCAATCTAGTTTTAATTACATTATGTAATATAATTAAAATAAAATAAACAAATACTTACATTTTACTTTTAATTATTAAATCAATTTTAATTATTCAATTTTTTAGTATATAAAAATGATATTTTGCAAGCGTATGGAGTTTCAAACATTGATTCAAACATGAAACAAGAAGAGTTTTTTTTTTCTTTTTCAAACCTTCATCATCTGTCTCTGAGGAATCACTGAGATCAGTGGGTATATCCTCATTGTCGTTGAAGTCCAGTGCAGGTGGTGGCACAGGGTCCAGAGGACTGGCCGGCTCGCTGTTCCTCTCCTCAGCCAGCAGAGGGAGCGGCAGCAGATCTCCATCAGGAAGGCAGTCTGTGTACTCCTCAGCTGCAATGTCAAACTGACACCAGCAGAGAGCACTTTTTCAAACAATGTCTCTTAATAAGACCATACGGAAAGCGTGCAGGAGCGCATATACTCACAGACAGTGGCGTATCAGTGCTGCTGGGAGGTGTGGTGGAGTGTGTGATGGATCTCTTGTGTGACGGAGGAGAACTGTTGTCTGGCTTGTTCTCACTGCTGCTCTTGGATGAGTTATCATTACTGACCTCGTTCTCCTCCGCTGGGATCTCCTCACAGTATCTGAACAGAGAGAATGTGGACACTTAGGTGCTATATCTGTGCAACATTCACGTCTGAATATGTTGGGTTTTTGAACAGTAGTTATGAAAGCATGCACATATAACTCACCCCATGGTGTTGAAATCATCATCAGGCGGCACATAGTCTTCATCATCGCTAGTGAGGCCCAGCTCATTTCCATAGCACTGATGTACGAAGTGCCAGAGCTCTTTAGGACAGAGAGGCTGCACACAGAGTATATGACACTTTATTATATTTGCTTAGATAACATCAGATATAACATATCTAATATTGCTTAAAATGTACTGACAAAATTAGCTTAATTCACAACACATGCATACACACATGAATCGGTTCTTAACCTAATTCTAAAGTTTTGTAATTGTTATTAATATTCTAATGCATTTTGGAGTATTCTAAATGAGTGACTGCGTGCCCGAGGTTAGTCATTTGCATAAACCTGTCCAAACCTGTCCATTTAAGGTAGGGCTGCATGATTATGATAAAAATCATAATTGTTGATTATTCCTTTGGAATTGTAATTGCGATTATTAATTATGATTATCACAATTTACATTGAAAGAGGTTTTGAATAGCTTTAGAAACAACTGCATGCCAAATTTTTATATGAAAAGTTGAAAACACTCTTCCTGAAAAACATTTAGAGATTTTCTATATAGCATTAAGCCAACTATACATCGGTTTGGTTTCTTCTTAAAATAAAAAAAGTAAAAATATGCATGCTATTTTATACTAAAAGTAAAATGAAAACAATGGAGATAACCTATAGAACGAAAAAAAAAAACATGCACATTTTAAGCATGCAGGATGATGTAAGTGGACTTCATCAATTCATTATTAATGATACCAATAATTACATGTAAATAATACATTAAAACAGCATGCAACTTTGACCAAATTACAAAAAGACAAAGTGATTCTAATGTATTTCTTTGGTCTTCATTTTATTAATAATATTAAGACCAAATAAACACATTACACAGAACAATTGGCATACAGTACCAATGTTTGCATGTTTTTCTTTTTGGTATCAGTCATTGCGGTGGTTATTGCTGTCAATCACCACAGTTTCGGATTCAAAAGCGAATAGCGCTTTCTCTTAATAATCACTAAAGTTGTCAATCACTTCAGTTCAGTGCAAACTCACTGACTGAACTCTGCTCTCTTGCAAAATATCCTGTTAAAATAGCACAAAAAATGGTCTACACTGCACAATGAATTACATCATGTTTACATTTTGTTGGTTATAATAAAAGTATTCAGCACAGCTATAACGATAACAATGACGATACGATAACTTTATTTTCAGATAAAGTCTCACACTCACAATTACAAAACGCTATCACATGGACAAAAGACAGACAAGACTTTTACAGTCGCAAGAAGAAAGGGGAAAAAACGACGATGCAATCAATTTTTAAACAATTTCTTCCAGCTGATGAACAGTGTAACCACTGACAGCCAATCAGAATTCACCCTGCTTTAAACAGCTTGAGTATTTAAAGCAGCAGATGACAAAACTGCAGTGCGCTTATAATGATGTGCTGGTGTGAATGCTAATACAGTTATTGTTATAGTTATCTTTCTTGTTGTGAACTGGCCTTAACTTAAACTTTATATACTGTATATACTCATATACTGTGCTCATACCTTGTCCAGCAGTGCATTCTGCCAAAGTCTGAACATCATCATGTAAGTCCTGTCTCTTGCACCAAACGATGTGAAAAAGTGCTGAAGAGAAGAGCAAAGCAGGAGATGAACATCAAGAAATAACCTCTGTGTTAATGTGCTGTGGCATCTGAAAGACTCTCACCTTCTCGGTGTCCGTGCACACCTGTATGGCATTGGGAATCAGACGCGCGGTTTTCTCTTTCGTCATGGAGCAGATGTCTTTCAGCCGAACTGTAAGCTGCATGAAACGCAACGACAAAAACTCAGCTCTTCTCCAATCTCTCTGGAGGCTGTAGCTCCAAAAGTCTGAGTTACAGTAAATCATACCAGTGTCTCCCAGCGAAAGATGTTGCTGTAAAAACAGATCCAGTTTTCAGAGAGGTAGAGGCGGCCCTGCAGGAGAATGTCCCGCTGGAGAGCGCATGAGTAGTCTGCCAATGACAGGACAAGGTCAAAAGATGTCCCTCCTGTTACATCTTTCAATTTAATAATTTTGTTTTCTAATATTTTAATTTGCATTCATCAAGTTCTAAATAAAAGAAGAAAATCACATAAAATTAAGTACCTTTAAACCGTTTAAGCATTTAATGCAATTCTGAATGAACTATTAATATAGTTAATTTTAATTATAATTTCACTTGTTAATGAATTATAATTAGTTTTTAAATGATAAATATAAAGTATAAATTTAAAGTTGTATATATATATTAAAGGGGTCATATGATGCGATTTCAACTTTTCCTGTTACAAGCTGTTCGTGAATAGATAAGATCCCTAAAGTTGCAAAGACTAAAGTCTCAAACCCAAAGAGATATTCTTTATAAAAGTTAAGACTTGTCCACACCCTAAAACGGCTCGTTCTAACACGCCCACATGTCTACGTCACAATGTGGGACGAACACCGCCCAAATGTTTACGCAAAGAAAGAAGGCGTAACTTTATTGTTGCTGCCACCACCGCCGCCATGTTGTGAAGACGCTGTGTGTTTCGTTGCGAAAGCGAAAATACTTTGTTTGGCCTTCCAAAAGAGGACACGACTAGAAATCAGTGGTTAAGTTGTATTTACAACACTGTTCCAGAACACTTCAACCCAAATATGCAGATGTGTGCAACGCATTTTACGGAGGACGAGGACTGTTTTCTGGGAGAGTAGCCTACAATGCCGGTGTTCAGGTGAATTCAGTTCCTCTGTTTCTCCTTCGGCGCGCATGCTGACCACAGTCTATGATGCTGACAAATAATGCTGACTCACAGCCTGTAAGTACGTTTTCATATTTAAAGGGGTCATATGATGCGATTTTAATTTTTCCTTTCTCTTTGGAGTGTTACAAGCTCTTGGTGCATAAAGAAGATCTGTAAAGTTGCAAAGACTAAAGTCTCAAATCCAAAGAGATATTCTTTATAAAAGTTAAGAGTCAGCCACACCTACCTAAAACGTCTTGTTTAAACACGCCCCCACATGTCTGCATCACTATGTGGGAAGATTTGCATAACGCCGCCCAAATGTTCACGCAAAGAAAGAAGGCGTAACTTTTATTCTCGCTGTAGTATTGTTGTTGCTGCCGCCATGTCGTGAAGACGCTGTGTGCTTCGTTGTGAAAGCGAAACTACTTTGTTTGGTCTTCCAAAAGAGGACGATATCTGCTTCGTCATGCCTGGAGCTGATCCGTGCTGGTCGCTGAGGAAATACATCAACTTTGCGCTGTGGATCGCCGGATTGGCTTTCACCGTGGATGAAGCGGAGTCCAGCCCGGGGTCGTCACATGTGGTTGACGCTGTGTTTTGTTGTGAAAGCGAAACTACTTTGTTTGGTCTTCCAAAAGAGGACACGACTAGAAATCAGTGGTTAAGTTGTATTTACAACACTGTTCCAGAACAGTTTAACCCAAATATTCAGATGTGTGCAGCACATTTTATGGAGGACTGTTTCCTGATCCTGCGAGAGTAGACTACAATGCCGGCTGTTCTGACTCACAGACTGGAAGTACGTTTTTTATATTTAAAGAGTTTTTATATTTTAAATATTTAAAGCTAGTTTTTTGGGCTTGTTGTTTGTCATTTCTCCGATCACAAATGCAGACATGTTTTTATGTTTACGCGGCGTGATGCAACGCAATGCGTAAAAAGACAGTATAAGTCATTATAATCCATAATTATGCCCCCACTGGATGCAACAAATGCCTCGTTTATAATGGGTTTTCATGTTTTTGTCTCATCGCTCTAGCCGGACAGGGCATCACAGTATGGTGAGGGGCGTAACATTTCCATCACACGCTTGAGGTATTCGGCCAATCACAACGCACTAGATAGCAGGGAAATCAGAGCACACCTCGCTTTTTCAGACCGGTGAGCTATTAAAAATCGACACGTTTCAGAAAGGCGGGGCATAGAGGAGCAACAATAATGTACAGTATGTGGAAAATAATGTGTTTTCTGAACCTTAAACCGCATAAACATATTTCATTACACCAAATACACAAAATAATGTTCTTTTTTAGCAACGTCATATGACCCCTTTAATATATTCAAGTAGAATTTTCACTTAAGATAAAACTAAATAATTGTATTAGGTAATTTACAGTAGTTTACTTACTATAAATAAAGAGCTTAATATATGAGAGCTCTTACCCACAATAAGGCGCTCTGTGTCCGGTAACTGCTTGAAGAGCTTCCTGAAGTCTTCATTACGCTGCTTGTATGTGGGACTCAGGACCTACAAAACACAAAAATCAGTAGATGAGGAACACACACATACTCACACGTCCATCCACACTCAGAAAGAGTGTGCATTAAGAGCATTTCCACTCTCACAGCTGATCATGCTGCTTCAGTTCTGCCATGCAGCAGAGCGAGATCAACCACAATGAGTGCATTCCCACTGTAGAGTCACACTGCTTCTCATTCACAAATGCACTCTTCACTCCTGCTAATGAGTGAATACACACCTGGCATCAGTTACAGTGGCACGTAAACAGCCTTTAAAGACAAATGCTCTGAGAAAAGACAGGACAGTCACTTCAACTTGAATCTCGAGGTGTCTTAAGATCAACCATGTAAAACGTTTCCTTATTCACAAAATTGAACGTGATACACCGTTGCCATGGAAGTGAGATAAAAAAAACAAACAACAAATGATCATAAATACCTTTAGAATTATACAGAATTTATATTATTTAACCACTGAATTCAGTTTCAAAAATATTAAATGAACATATATTTGTACAGACTGTACCGACACTGTCAATATTGAATATTTTTAAACAAATTTTTACAATATTAGAATAAGCAAAAATAACCTGACTAGTAACACATGATTCCAGTGCAAAAACACACTCACACGCAAGTGGCCTTTAGTAACCTCTGCAGACAGATACTTTATTATGCTGCTGTTTGTTCCAGTTTCCCACCGTTTGTGCTGGGAAAGAGTGGGTATGTGGGTCTGTCTTGATTCTTTATGCTTCTTCAGACTGAGAACACTGTGACTTCCACAAGTTAATCGTTACCTTAGTATGCAATGGCCACCAATATCTCTATTACAGTTTGGTTGTTGGCTTTCACAGAACGTTCTTCTTGGAGTTTAGTCCATCAAAGATGTGATTCATCTTAGTCCTCAGAATTTGTGTTTGTTTTCTGCATTCACTTGCTGATCATGTTAGACTTCAGAGAAGAAAAACTTATCTTCTACAGGTTTGAAATGGAGCATGACAACCAATAAAGAGCGTGACTGGAGGGTTGATGAAGAAGGAACAGTAAGTTACTTCCGCAAGTGATAATTAATCGTTACTTCAGTATGCAATGGCCACCAATATCTCCATTAAAGGTTGGTTGGTGGCTTTCAAAGATCGTTCTTCTTGAAATTTAGTCCATCAAAGACGTGATTCTTCTTATTCCATAAAGTTTGTGCTTGTTTTCTGCATTTCTTCTTAGACTTCAGAGAAGAAATAGTCTCCTAGTTTGAAACGGACTACGACAACAAATAAAGAGCATCTAAAGAGCATGTCTGTAGGGTTGATCCGCAAGCAATTATCAATTGTTACCTCAGTATGCAGTGGACACTAATATCTCCATTACAGGTTGGTTGGTGGCTTTCAAAGAACGTTCTTCTTGGAGTTTAGTCCATCAAAGATGTGATTCTTCTTAGTCCTCAGAATTTGTGTTTGCTTTCTGCATTCAGCAGCTGTTGTTGTTCGACTTTAGAGAACAAAAGATAGTCTTCTGCCGGTGTGAATCGGACCACGACGACAAATAAAGAGCCTCGAAAGAGCCTGACTAGAGAGTCGATGAAGAAGGAACAGAAAGTTACTTCCGCAAGTGATAATCGTTACCTCAGTATGCAATGGCCGCTAATATCTCCATAACAGGTTGGTTGTTGGCTTTCAAAGATTGTTCTTCTTGGAGTTTAGTCCATCAAAGACAATTCTTCTTATTCCTAGAGTTTTTCTTGTTTTCTGCATTCAGTCTTGTCAGACTTCAGAGAAGAAAGATCTTCTGCAGGTGTGAAACGGACCACGACGACAAATAAAGACCATCCGGAAACACTCTGCACCAAATCCTTGGGTTCTTAGGTCCTCTTTTTAATAATTTACGCTTTCCAATGTAGAATTCACACTCGCATCTCTCAACCCCAAACGACACTCACTCGCTCCCTCTCATTTGTGCCTAAAGATAACCAAGAACAAAGACTGACACATGATCTGCAGCAGTTATAATGCTAAGAATGGAATTCTGCTTGTGCAAGCGACAACTCCGTCCCAAAAGTATGCTCTCATCAGCACTTATGCATAAATATCCATAAAGGTGAATGGATAGTTGCTCTCAATGGAGAAGCAAATACTCAGGAACATTCCAGAGCAGATCCAGACTAGCAGAAACCTCAGCAGATACTGCGGAGCACAACAGCTCTATCTGTCCTGCTGATTTATGTAGAGCTGGATATGTGTGAGTGTGTTTACTCCTGCTGATGAGTATGTAAAGTCAGTTACTTATTAACTAAAAGAGTAAATAATGAGAGACGCCGGTGGCTGGTACCAGGAGTGGGTGTGACGACTCCAATAATGTCATCAGGGGATCCCTTTGTTTTCTAATGTCACAGTGACAAGTGAGACAATTAGGCACGTTTCCATTACAGATTTGCGCAAAACTTTGGCGATATTTTATAAGCGTCAATAAAAAAGTATTGCGAAATGACGGTGTTTCCATTAACCGATGTTATGCGACTAAAACGTAATTCTTTCCTCTCGCGATAAGTCATGGCAATGGATTTTGATGGTATTTTGGCTACACTAGCCATTATATTTAATCGAAGGAGGCGTATGCGTGTATCTTGATAGAAGCAGCGTGGAGAGCAGCTTCTGGGACGTGCCGTGGCATGACTGGTAACACAAGCGTTGACTAGAGTGGCTGCGATCAGCTCCGGTGGCCGTTTCGGAGCCGTAACGCGCCGCAGACGTGTGCAGTGTAAATAGTCTAAGCATTAATGACAGGGAAAGCCCCTTATACTTGAGAGCAGCCACATATGAAGTGTTTCTTGGAGGTTGTAGTACATTGAGGAATGATCATATGACTTTTTACGTATACCATGTGACCTGTTAATGCGGAAAAAAAAGTTTCCATTGCAGTTTTGCGAAATATTCCTTTTTTGAATTGCCTGAAAAACCACCTCATGCGAGCGTAAAAACTTTTTGCGATATATGGGCGTTTTTGCGAAATTGACGCGTTTCCATTAGGCGTATTTTCAATTTGCAATTACAATTTGCGTTAACGTTTGTCTGTGTAACAGACCAGGGTGTTTCTGTGCGACAGAACTGAAAGCTGACTTAACGTTTGTCTGCGTGATGGACTAGCGTGTTTCTGTGTGACAGAACCAAAGACTGATTTAGCGCATTTTCTGTTCAATGAAACTGAAAGCTTATTTGATGTGTGACAGAACTCAAGTTGTTTTAGCATGTTTTTGTGTGACAGAACTGATGCTAACTAAGCTCATATCTGTGCGACAGACTAAGGCAAGTGTGAGTAAGGATGAACTTTTATATCTTATTTAATTACTGGGAGGAATCCAGTAATTAAAATCAGCTGAGCATCACAAAACTGAGGATAGATAACTGCTAGTCTATGACGCAATTATTATTAAAAAAACAACACATTTTTAGACCAGTTTAAATTCAGACCAAGTGCAAGCTGAAACAGCTTTGAAATCAGCACTTTACAACCTAACACTTGAAGGGGCTACACACGCATACAAAGCTAAATATGAATGTTAGACATATTCTAAAAAAATATGACTTAAAAAAAGTTATTTTTTGGAAGAAAGAGCAATATTAAAAGTCCCTCTGAATCAGTCTAGTTATGGCATAGAGCTGGGTTCTGTTCACAAGAACTGAAAACAGAGAAACAGCCAAGCAGAGAACCAGTTTCCCAACTTTACACCTGTTCATGGTGTCAGAATCTCCAGGGCAAAGCTCAGGAAGGTATGGAATTCTGCACAAACACGCCCACACGTAACAATAAACAAACGCACACATAAACTCTGTCTGTCTTCATGTCTCAAACGGTCACAGGGACGGCGCGTTTCCATTACAGATTTGCGCAAAACTTTGGCGATATTTTATAAACGTCAATAAAAAAGTATTGCGAAATGACGGTGTTTCCATTAACCGATGTTATGCGACTAAAACGTAATTCTTTCCTCTCGCAATAAGTCATGGCAATGGATTTTGATGGTATTTTGGCTACACTAGCCATTATATTTAATCGAAGGAGGCGTATGCGTGTATCTTGATAGAAGCAGCGTGGAGAGCAGCTTCTGGGACGTGCCGTGGCATGACTGGTAACACAAGCGTTGACTAGAGTGGCTGCGATCAGCTCCGGTGGCCGTTTCGGAGCCGTAACGCGCCGCAGACGTGTGCAGTGTAAATAGTCTAAGCATTAATGACAGGGAAAGCCCCTTATACTTGAGAGCAGCCACATATGAAGTGTTTCTTGGAGGTTGTAGTACATTGAGGAATGATCATATGACTTTTTACGTATGCCATGTGACCTGTTAATGCGGAAAAAAAAGTTTCCATTGCAGTTTTGCGAAATATTCCTTTTTTGAATTGCCTGAAAAACCACCTCATGCGAGCGTAAAAACTTTTTGCGATATATGGGCATTTTTGCGAAATTGACGCGTTTCCATTAGGCGTATTTTCAATTTGAAGGGTAATGGAAATGCAGCTAATGTCTAGTGTGCGAAATATACATAAGCTTTTGGGGTGCGATCTGTTGAGGTTAGTCTCTTGCAACTCAAAATAGTTTTGTATTTAACCAAAAGTAAGTCACCTTAAAGGGATAGTTCACCCAAAAATGAAAGTTCTGTCATCATTTACTCACCCTCATGTCGTTCCAAATATGAGTATGAGTTTCTTTCTTCCGCTGAATACAGAATAATATATTTTGAAGGATCTTGAGAACTAAACAGTTTTGATGACTATTGCCTTCCAGTGTATGGACCAAAAAATGAAGACATTTTTTAAAATATATTCTTTTATGTTCTACAAAAGAAAGAAAGTCATACAGATTTGGAACGAAAAGAGAGTGAATAAACGGTGACAAACATTTTTGGTGAACTATCCGTTTAAAAATCTTTAAAATACACTAAAGCTGGTATGTTAAATTCTGTATGTGTCATACCTAAAGACATAAAAAATGTCAATATTGATGTTTGTTAATAATTATCATAACAACAATTGCTTTAGTTCACAAGCATTTTTCATTATTTGAGTGTCCGGTGAAAGTATATACTCTGACTTATTTTGCAGTTACTAAAAACATTTTTGAAAAATATAAAATTAAAATGATTTTTGCACATGTAGGCTGCCATTTAGACTAAGAACCGTGTATTGGTTTAGCATACGTATGAGACCTCCCCAACTTTGATTTAACTTCCATTGGGGTTCAAACCTAAATAGATATCAACCCAAAGTTTTTCACATAAGAAGACATTTCGAATGTTGGTAACCAAACAGTTTAAACTAAACCCAGAAACTATACTGATGAGTTGATTTCTGTAGAAAACGTTGAATCATTTAGATGACAAGGACGCAGGAAAAATGTGTGCTGATAACAGCCATACAATGAAAAGACAGAGCAGGCCTTTGTGTGACATATCTGCTCAGGCTCTCTTCCTATTCATACTCTTTGTTTATTACTTTTCTAATTTTACCTTGAAACTAACAATGTGTTGTGAAATTGCTGCCTTAAAATAAGCTAATTCATACAAGCTTTGCTCCTATAAAGAGTCAGATGCTGTTAATAATCAGCACTCTCTCGTAAACCAAACATCCCGGAGCCTAACTGCAACACAGTACTGCAGCCAACATTCACTCCGGTGGTCAGTCGGGCTCAGAACTCACATGATGACGGTTGAGATGTAATCACAGAGCTCTCAGGGCAATGGGAGATCATCACTGCCCATACAAACCCTCCACAGACCGAGCATCAAGAAATATTCTAAACATACTGTATAAATATAACATCAACACCACTGTGTGAGATCCTGCCCAGTATGCATTTAATATGTATCAAACAACTCACATCCGTGCAGACGCAGTGCAATCAACCAATCACATCACACCGCTGAGGACCAGAGCCAGTCAAAAAGATGCAAAGTCTATTTACTGCGACTCTTCAATGCTGCCGCCATGCAGGCCCTTGTGAAAAAGAAGTGTGCTTAATTGTAATGAATGTGCACTTGTATTTAAAATTACATTTACAAAAAATTGTACTTGCCGATAATATAAGATTACTAAAATAAAAGTGTACTTAAAACTAAGTGTACTTAGAGTACACTTTCATGACTGCTATGTTTTTAACACTTAAGTACAGTTTTACATTTAGTTTTTAAAAGGGCACTTTGTAATATGTACTTCTTTTTCACAAAGGGGTATTAATGCCATGCATCCTCTTTCTGCATTCGGTTTAGTAAAGTTCATGGTGCTACGATTGCATCATTAGATGATCACACACATGCCAAAGCCATCATTAGAACGACAGAAGCCTTCAAGACTCATTTCAGTCCTCATACTGAACGCTTGAGGAAGGACTGGTGTGAGAGCGAACAGAACGTGGAGAGTAAAACCATGCTTACTCTGAGAATGTGCTGTCTCTCATGCTAAAGAGAAAGAGTGAAGGAGAGAGAGAAGAGAGGGGAAGACAAAAAAAGAAAAGAAAACAGACAGAAAAAGAAAGCAAAGATTGATGGAGATATTGTGGGAAGATATTGTGGAATGAAAAGTGATTGAAAGATTAGTGTAAAACCACGCTCTCTTGTGGCTAATGGTCTAAATAGAATTCAACACTTGAAGAGAAAATCTTATTTGTATTGCTATAATAATAATTCAATATACATTAAATATATACCCTGAATTATTTAAAGTATAAAACATTACCATGATAATATAGTTATTTTAGGCATGCACCTCAGAGAGCCATGTAATATATATTCAAATATTCATATTTAAATATGCAATTTTAATGGGAATATGTAATATGAAATATTTAATTCTTAAGATAATTTTGTGTGCCAAAACATGTAAGATTATATTCAAATTCTGACACTCTGTGATACACAACAATGTGAAGAAAGCAGATGGCTGTTATCAGTCACGTTGACACACAGACGTAAAATATGAGGAAATTGATAACAAGATCATGAGTCAGATAATATTTGCAGCCAAACTGATGAATGTCAGAGGAAAGAGCAACACATCTGTAAAGCATTACAGTAAAACAACAGAAGAATTCCACTGGTTGATGACCAGACACGGCAGTGTTCACATCTGACACACAAATACAAGTAATTACATACTTAAAAATTCCAAACATAATGCCTATTATAAACAATAACTAAATTAAATAAAAATTATATGTATATATATATACAGTGAAAATTAGATTTAATTATTACATTTAATTAAATTATCCTGTTCCCTTGCCCAAGACATGTCATGATACAGTAACACAAAGAATGCACTGTATGGTGACATTTATGGTTTATATGGCTTATGGTTTATATTTCAAGGTAGGTGGACACACAACCATTAGTACAAGCATACACACACACACACACACACACACACACACACACACACACACACACACACATACACACACACACATATTATTAATAGAAAGTGCGACTTACGTTGTACCAGCTCTGGCTTTTCTGAAAGAGAAGGAAAAGAAAATGACTATATTAAGGAGAGCAAAACAGTGGCTATGCAGAACATTATTTGCATACGCCCCTCACAGCGAGTGTATATTTACAGACTGTGAGGGTTGGCCGAGGGCCTGTCATGTGGCAGCTGGTAAAGTCTGCTAGATTGACATTTCCCTTCACCTGATAATTACACACGCATACATCATTTGTTCTTTCCACAAATAGTGTGAAACAAAGATAGATGGTTAAATGAGCAGTTTGAAAGCGGATACGTCATGGGAAAAAGACAAATTCACACTTGCATAAACCAAAATAGAAACTAAAGACACTTTTAAGGGGGTGTTTGTGTACAGGGGTGAACTGACATCACTACCGCTCTATTTATAACACAACACAGTCTAGCTCAGTCTAGATGAGCCTGAATGTTGTTTCACTCAGGCCAAAAATTACCTTGAAAAGACCCTTAAAACTATTTCTCGTAATTATGACGTTATATCTCGCAATGTGACTTTATTTCTCATAATAATGACATTACATATCATCACATAACTTTATTTCTCCTAATTATAACATTAGATCTGTCAATTTGACCTTTCTCATAATTTCTCATAAATATTCAATTATATACTGCAACGTGACTTTATTTCTCGTAATTATGACTTTACAGTATATCTGTGCAGTGACTTTATTATTTGGCCTTTCCACAAATAGAGTGAAGCAAAAATAGATGGTTAAATGAGCAGTTTCAAAGCTGATATGGCATGGAAATAAGACAAATTCACAGCCGCATGAACCAAAATAGAAACTTGGAGACTTTTAAGAGGGTGTTTGTGTACAGGGGTGAACTGACATCACTACCGCTCTATTTATAACACAACACAGTCTAGCTCAGTCTAGATGAGCCTGAATGTTGTTTCACTCAGGCCAAAAATTACCTTGAAAAGACCCTTAAAACTATTTCTCGTAATTATGACGTTATATCTCGCAATGTGACTTTATTTCTCATAATAATGACATTACATATCATCACATAACTTTATTTCTCCTAATTATAACATTAGATCTGTCAATTTGACCTTTCTCATAATTTCTCATAAATATTCAATTATATACTGCAACGTGACTTTATTTCTCGTAATTATGACTTTACAGTATATCTGTGCAGTGACTTTATTTCTTGTAATTATGGCATTATACTGTAAGTTGCAATTTTTATTAATTTTTTTTGTAATTATGACTATATCTGCGCACAGTGACTTTATTTCTCATAATTATGACATATTTCACAATTTGACTTTATTTCTCGTAGTTATGACATTATATATTGCAAAGTGACTTTATTTCTTGTAATTATGAATTTTCTATTTTGCAAAGTGACTTTATATTTCATTGCTGTGATTTTTTTACCTTAAAGTGTCACTTTTCATCTCGCAGTGATTTTTCTTACTGTACTGTAAATTGTCATGTGACTTAATTTCTCATAATTGACAAATAGCAAAGTGACTTTATTTCTCGTAACTATGACTTTATATCTGTGCTAAGTGACTTTATTTCTCGTACCTATGACTTCGTATCTGTGAAAAGTGACTTTATATCTCGTAACTATGACTTTATATCTGTGCTAAGTGACTTTATTTCTCGTACCTATGACTTCGTATCTGTGAAAAGTGACTTTATATCTCGTAACTATGACTTTATATCTGTGCTAAGTGACTTTATTTCTCGTACCTATGACTTCGTATCTGTGAAAAGTGACTTTATATCTCGTAACTATGACTTTATATCTGTGCTAAGTGACTTTATTTCTCGTACCTATGACTTCGTATCTGTGAAAAGTGACTTTATATCTCGTAACTATGACTTTATATCTGTGCTAAGTGACTTTATTTCTCGTACCTATGACTTCGTATCTGTGAAAAGTGACTTTATATCTCGTAACTATGACTTTATATCTGTGCTAAGTGACTTTATTTCTCGTACCTATGACTTCGTATCTGTGAAAAGTGACTTTATATCTCGTAACTATGACTTTATATCTGTGCTAAGTGACTTTATTTCTCGTACCTATGACTTCGTATCTGTGAAAAGTGACTTTATATCTCGTAACTATGACTTTATATCTGTGCTAAGTGACTTTATTTCTCGTACCTATGACTTCGTATCTGTGAAAAGTGACTTTATATCTCGTAACTATGACTTTATATCTGTGCTAAGTGACTTTATTTCTCGTACCTATGACTTCGTATCTGTGAAAAGTGACTTTATATCTCGTAACTATGACTTTATATCTGTGCTAAGTGACTTTATTTCTCGTACCTATGACTTCGTATCTGTGAAAAGTGACTTTATATCTCGTAACTATGACTTTATATCTGTGCTAAGTGACTTTATTTCTCGTACCTATGACTTCGTATCTGTGAAAAGTGACTTTATATCTCGTAACTATGACTTTATATCTGTGCTAAGTGACTTTATTTCTCGTACCTATGACTTCGTATCTGTGAAAAGTGACTTTATATCTCGTAACTATGACTTTATATCTGTGCTAAGTGACTTTATTTCTCGTACCTATGACTTCGTATCTGTGAAAAGTGACTTTATATCTCGTAACTATGACTTTATATCTGTGCTAAGTGACTTTATTTCTCGTACCTATGACTTCGTATCTGTGAAAAGTGACTTTATATCTCGTAACTATGACTTTATATCTGTGCTAAGTGACTTTATTTCTCGTACCTATGACTTCGTATCTGTGAAAAGTGACTTTATATCTCGTAACTATGACTTTATATCTGTGCTAAGTGACTTTATTTCTCGTACCTATGACTTCGTATCTGTGAAAAGTGACTTTATATCTCGTAACTATGACTTTATATCTGTGCTAAGTGACTTTATTTCTCGTACCTATGACTTCGTATCTGTGAAAAGTGACTTTATATCTCGTAACTATGACTTTATATCTGTGCTAAGTGACTTTATTTCTCGTACCTATGACTTCGTATCTGTGAAAAGTGACTTTATATCTCGTAACTATGACTTTATATCTGTGCTAAGTGACTTTATTTCTCGTACCTATGACTTCGTATCTGTGAAAAGTGACTTTATATCTCGTAACTATGACTTTATATCTGTGCTAAGTGACTTTATTTCTCGTACCTATGACTTCGTATCTGTGAAAAGTGACTTTATATCTCGTAACTATGACTTTATATCTGTGCTAAGTGACTTTATTTCTCGTACCTATGACTTCGTATCTGTGAAAAGTGACTTTATATCTCGTAACTATGACTTTATATCTGTGCTAAGTGACTTTATTTCTCGTACCTATGACTTCGTATCTGTGAAAAGTGACTTTATATCTCGTAACTATGACTTTATATCTGTGCTAAGTGACTTTATTTCTCGTACCTATGACTTCGTATCTGTGAAAAGTGACTTTATATCTCGTAACTATGACTTTATATCTGTGCTAAGTGACTTTATTTCTCGTACCTATGACTTCGTATCTGTGAAAAGTGACTTTATATCTCGTAACTATGACTTTATATCTGTGCTAAGTGACTTTATTTCTCGTACCTATGACTTCGTATCTGTGAAAAGTGACTTTATATCTCGTAACTATGACTTTATATCTGTGCTAAGTGACTTTATTTCTCGTACCTATGACTTCGTATCTGTGAAAAGTGACTTTATATCTCGTAACTATGACTTTATATCTGTGCTAAGTGACTTTATTTCTCGTACCTATGACTTCGTATCTGTGAAAAGTGACTTTATATCTCGTAACTATGACTTTATATCTGTGCTAAGTGACTTTATTTCTCGTACCTATGACTTCGTATCTGTGAAAAGTGACTTTATATCTCGTAACTATGACTTTATATCTGTGCTAAGTGACTTTATTTCTCGTACCTATGACTTCGTATCTGTGAAAAGTGACTTTATATCTCGTAACTATGACTTTATATCTGTGCTAAGTGACTTTATTTCTCGTACCTATGACTTCGTATCTGTGAAAAGTGACTTTATATCTCGTAACTATGACTTTATATCTGTGCTAAGTGACTTTATTTCTCGTACCTATGACTTCGTATCTGTGAAAAGTGACTTTATATCTCGTAACTATGACTTTATATCTGTGCTAAGTGACTTTATTTCTCGTACCTATGACTTCGTATCTGTGAAAAGTGACTTTATATCTCGTAACTATGACTTTATATCTGTGCTAAGTGACTTTATTTCTCGTACCTATGACTTCGTATCTGTGAAAAGTGACTTTATATCTCGTAACTATGACTTTATATCTGTGCTAAGTGACTTTATTTCTCGTACCTATGACTTCGTATCTGTGAAAAGTGACTTTATATCTCGTAACTATGACTTTATATCTGTGCTAAGTGACTTTATTTCTCGTACCTATGACTTCGTATCTGTGAAAAGTGACTTTATATCTCGTAACTATGACTTTATATCTGTGCTAAGTGACTTTATTTCTCGTACCTATGACTTCGTATCTGTGAAAAGTGACTTTATATCTCGTAACTATGACTTTATATCTGTGCTAAGTGACTTTATTTCTCGTACCTATGACTTCGTATCTGTGAAAAGTGACTTTATATCTCGTAACTATGACTTTATATCTGTGCTAAGTGACTTTATTTCTCGTACCTATGACTTCGTATCTGTGAAAAGTGACTTTATATCTCGTAACTATGACTTTATATCTGTGCTAAGTGACTTTATTTCTCGTACCTATGACTTCGTATCTGTGAAAAGTGACTTTATATCTCGTAACTATGACTTTATATCTGTGCTAAGTGACTTTATTTCTCGTACCTATGACTTCGTATCTGTGAAAAGTGACTTTATATCTCGTAACTATGACTTTGTATCTGTGAAAAGTGACTTTATTTCTCATAACTATGACGTAACTATGACTTTGTATCTGTGAAAAGTGACTTTATTTCTCATAACTATGACTTCATATCTGTGCAAAGTGACTTTAT